TTTCATTATTTTTAATGCTTTTTTTTTTTTAAAGACTATTCACTGACAATGAGAAGAGTTTAAAATAGAATTCTAGGCTTCCAGATTTTAACGGTCCTAGCAAACCTCCATTGTTAACTCAGAAGCAGCTGCATACATCTAAAAAATCACTTTCAGATTTGGCAGGGTTTCTTAAGAAACTTGAAGCTCAGCAAAAAGTTAAATAAATTATCCTTGAAATTTTACCAAATGCTCAGGAACTCACTTCAAAGGGAATTTTGTCCATTCAGTTAACTGTGTGACAGCAGCTTTCCAACAGCAAATTTATGAAATTGGCATTTTAAATATTCTATGAATGTACAAAGCTGGAGCTACCTGTCCCTAGTCACCAGACAGCTCAGTTAGAGGCCTGATTACCTCTCCTTTTCTTAAAGTGAATGCCTGGAACAGTGTGATATTCAGCCACTGAAAGCACCCTGGACTCAGGAGTTCCTAACCCTAGCTTCACATTAGAATCCCCAGGGAATTTTAATGAAAAAGAGCCACCCCTGGCTCCCACCCTAAAATTAAATCAAGAGTCTTAGAGGGTGGCATGTGGCATCAAGAAGCATCCAAGCTCCCCAGGTGATTATAACGTGGAGCCAGCGCTGGGCATCGCAGATGCAGGCAGTGACATTTAGCAGATCAGAGAGAAAAGATAATGTGAGCGCATCTCCAAGTACTTGATTTGACATCTGGTCTCTGACAGCAAGCACCGCCAAACGAGAAATGGACTTCAAGAGCCAGGAAGCTGTGCTGCCCTGTCTAGAAAGTGACCTAGTTAACAGATTTGTTTTCCATCAATGCTTCAGAACTTTACAGTTTCTGGACAGAAGAGTACAGGGCAATGGTCCTAAGAGGGAGGCCCCACTCTGAGCAGGTTAGAGGTCTAGCAGACCTTAGGAAAGTCTAATACTGCGTGTTCTCACTGATAAACAGAAGTTAAATAATGTGTACACATGGACATAGGTGTGGACAGAATAACAGGCACTGAAGACACAGAAGGGTGGCAGGTGGATGAGGGGTGCGGGCTGGGAAATTACTTAAGGGGTACAATGTGCACTCTTTGGGTGATGGTTACACTAAAAGCCCAGGCTTTACCGCTATGGAATACATCCATGTCACAGAACTGTACTTGTACCCCTAAATTTATACCCCCAAAACTCTGTTGAGGTCAAGTTTTACCAGCATCTGATGAAGACAGCAACAGCAAGTACTACAACTATGACAACTTCTGCCAGTCACGGAACATTCAGTTGTCACAACAGCCTCATTGAAAGACGCATCTTTATCTTCTTCTTGTAGACAAGGAAAATGGGGCTCAGAGAGGTTGATTGATTTGCCTAACACTGAAGTACAAATTCCAAGTCACAAAACTCAACTGCAGCCACATCCAGTGAAGGGGCCTCATGACGCCCTCTAGCCTAATCCTTTGCCTCCTTCTGAGTTCACAGACATCTGCTGTTATTAATGACTTCCTACTCCCACCTCTGCTCATCTAGGCTTAGGCTCCACTATCAGGAAGTGCATCTTCTCACAATGTCACTTCATTCCTCAAGGTCTGGAGGGAAACTGCTCAACTGACATCCAGGACCCAATTGAAAAAGCTATCAGTTGAATCAGCATCCTTAGCCACTATGGACCAAGTCAGGAGCCTGGGCCCTGCACCATCCTCCTCCCCAGAGGTAATAGAGGAGCAGGGGTGGAGGGAAAGGCAGGCAGGGTGATCTCACACCCCCAGGGAGGATGCAAACACCATAACACTGGCAACACCCACACTTCTGCCTGCTAATCAGATGCACAAAGACGGCCCCAGGCCTGGCATGTGCATGTGGTGAATCCAGGACTGATTATTTGGTGAGGAGAACCACTGAGCCTCACTGAAACCCGCTCCTCATGTGGTTTTCTGGCTGTGACAGGAAGAAAATGGCTGGCAGCCACAGGAGGCCCCAGGGAAACCTTAACAGCGCTGGCTTCTCCAGAGGGTCTGGGCTGCTGAGGTCTATGATCAGAGAGGTTCCCTCCTCAGAGGAGGAGGAGATTTGGGGCTCTCAAGTCAGTTAAATCCCGTCATGGCTCCCACAGCCTAAGATTTCTGTCTTTATTTAAAACCCTCATCAAGGCTCTGGAAATCTGACAACTCGGGAAGTACTGTGCGCCTCAGTCCACAGGAAACTCCAGCACCTGGCAGAATGAGCTCCATAAAGGACAAGGAGGCACCACAGATATATTGGATCAAACGTGAAGCGAATTCATCATTTTGAGTCACATGTCACTGTGCAGAGCAGAAACAATGCCGCTGATGTTCTAAAGACACAGTGCAGCTCTATGGGCTTGGGAGCCCCAGTGAGAGGGAATTCTGAGGATCTACAAGACTTTTAAAAGGGTTTCGTTTCTTTCCTAGTTTACTGAGCAATGCATTTAAGGGCCCTGAACATGTGTCACCTTGCACACCTTGTTCGTGCCGTTTCCCCAGCTTCAAAAAGCTCCCATGAAAGCTCCCATGCCCACCCTCTAACGCCCAGGACTGCTCCTCCCACAGAGCCTTCCTCACATCGCCCGGGCCGCCCACTCCCCCCAGCCAGCATCTCCTGGGCTCACACAGCAGAGTGCTGCGCCTTAACGATGGGACCAGCTTCTCCACTCTGTCTCACACTAAGCCACTCCTCCATCTTCCCCTCATGGAAAGTTCTCTGAAAGGCAGAGACAGTGATTTCTGTCATCGGGTTCTTCACAGTGGCAGGTCTTAGTTGGGCTGAGATAAAATGGTTAACCCTCAAGCTATCACCTTAAACCCAATGAAAACCCTTAATCCTCAAATCACAGGCCCTATAAACGACTCTACCATGACTGATGCTAGCAACACGAGAACACAAATCCTTGTCTATTTCTAGAGGAGGAGAAGGAAGCAGGGGGAAGGCACTGGCTTGTAAGAAGGCCTCACACAGCTCCCTGGGGGACGCAGCTCAACTAGCAAAGAAAGGTGCTCTGCCGAGAAAAAGTGGCCATACGTCCTCTCGTTCAGAAGTAACACGTTGGGTTTAGGAGAGCTGAGGCAGGTGGCCAGCGGACCTCCGAGGCAGGTCAGCATCTGAGCCACAGTTTGCAAGTGAAGGGGAAAAGAGCTGGGCAGGCACCTCCAAGCTGCACCTGCGTGGCCTGTTGCCAGCAACACGGCAGGCGCAGAAACTCTGCGAAGGCCACGGGGTTCGGGTCGGCTCGACTGCCGCGGGGACAGCTGCGCAGAGGACAGGCAGACACTCTGACATCTAGTCACTTCACAGGCACGTCGCCGAGGCTGAGACTCAAATGAATGTCTGTTTATAAACTCTGAACTTGCATTCAGCAAACAGCTCTAGAAACCCTCCCTCAGTCTTCTGATCCTCAGGTCTGAACCCTGGTCCCTTCCTGAGCCTGGCAAGAAGCAGGGAGGTAGGGAAGCAGGGCCTGACCCTGCTCGCTCCCAGTCAGCACACAGGTTTGCACCAGCTGCGGCATCTGAGATTGCAGAACACTCCCTCCCCATGGAGGTCAAGAGCCCAGGTTTGAAGAAGGGTAAGGGCCCCTCCACCAGGGGTCTCTCAGCTCCGCCTTCCACACTCCACAACCCAAAGAGGACGCACAATTGCACCTCACCCGCCCCTCCTATTGCAGCTCACCCCGACCTTCATCCCCTCTGTGCTCCAGTCAAAGGGCCCACCGCCTCCTCCCTGAAACCTGGCCTTTGCCCACCTCCCCACCTCCCTCACGCCAGTCCCCAGTGTCACATCGCAGGTGTGACACTGAACGGTCACACCTGCAATCCATGCATACTTCAGGGCCCAGGCCGAATGTTCCCCCAAGCCCTGTTCTCAATCCCTCCTCGGCTCCCTCAGTGCAGCACGCCAGCCCCGATGTGCCCTCCAGCTCTGCTCCCTGGTGCTGCGTTTACTGTGAGCAGGCCTGCCCCTCCCTAGGAGACAGCACTCCACTCCATATGCTCTCCAGCTCCAGGTTTGCCCTGGACCCAGCAACAGGCCTTGCTGAGAGTACAACATCCAAGTCCCTCTGCTCAAGCAGGGACCTGCGCAGCCATCCCCTACAATGTAGGGCCGGCCTCAGGTCCACTAAGCCTCTAAATGGCTATGTGCCCTTGACATGTTTTCTCAGTTCTTCCTATCCAGCACTTCCAGATTTGAAGCAAGTCACAGACATCTTAGTCAAATGCTCCACTGGATTCCAATTTCCACTCTGACCTGAGGCATAGAGGGCCCCAGAAAGAATAAAAGCATATCTGTGGGGAAAGTATATGGTGAATGAGACACTGTGGTTGACAACGGCAATTAATTTCAGTGATTGACGGAGTTCTCAGGCCTCGCCTCCTGCAAAAAGTGCTCTCGCGTGCCTCGTGTCACAGTGTGGGGTGTCGGTGGGTGGGCTGCAAAGCAGCCATCACTGACTCACATGCCCCTTAACACCTGCCTAGAACAGTGAGCCAGTTTCCCCCCAGCCCGATGGGCTAAGCATATGGCTTCACATGAATAGCACAGGTAGGAGCCATATCAGGTGGCCCAAGAGTGACAGTCGAGAGGAACCCTGCCCTTCAAATTCTTGCCCAATAACACTGCTCACATTGAGGTGAGGGAAACCACAGCTTCCTCTCCTGCGGTGCAAAAATACGTCTCATCACCCTCGTGCCTGCACGGAAATGCACTTACTGAATTCCACAGAACAACAGTGGGCCCCTCTGACCCTCCCTGGCTGTAAAGCCATCTTACCAAATACGACTCTAAACTCCAAACCTCAGGCAGAAATCCAGAGGCAGCGCCGGCGCGGCGCGCCTGTTCTCTCTGGGATGTGATGTGTGCAGGCAGAAGGGACCAGATGGCTGGGAGGAGGCCGTCCCGCTCACAGCCTGGGTCAAAGTTGAGCAAGGCCTGCTGCCAGGCGTCTGCGCCGCACACTGAGTCTGTCTAGCCAGGGGCAGGAAGGGCTCTACATACTGTTTCGTTTGCCTTCCTCTCCTCCTTCTTCCTCGTTCTCGGGATCAATGTCCTCAGCTTGGGTGATCCAATCCAAGTAGCCCTTTAGATCCTCCTCCAGCTGCTGTTTCTCCCGGAGCTTCTGGAAATCTCCCCGTGCTTTTGCTTTCTCTCTTTCCTTTGAAAATTCTCTGAAGGAGGCAAAGATGACAAGAGCATGTCAGGGCATCCTTGGGGACCTGCCTCCTGAGCCGCTGCCCTGCTGCACAATGGTCTTGTGGCAGGACGCACAGCACCGAGTACAGCCACATGAGCACAGCAATGGAGCCACACACGTGGACAGGACAGAAGACAGTGTCTTCCCAAGCAAGATTGTGGGGGTCAGAGTCGCAGAGCCCACATCAACACACATGCATCACTTCTTAGAAAATGAACTCCCCTCAGATGACAGCCATGCCAAGGGGCCTGGGCCCAAAACACCATGCGCTGTCATGGTAGGCCTCTGACACCCCCCAACCAGGGGTCTGAACTCAGAGACACCCCATCTGCCCCAGAGCCTCCTCAGATACCCAACATCACACCTCAAAGAGAAGGAACCCAAGTAGGCCAAGCTGTGGTCAAAGAGTACCAAGGTTAGGGCTTCTTCAATGCTTTTGGGCAACACTCTGCATTAATATTGTGTGCTGCCCCTTTTGTCCAAACCAAGGGCTCTGAGGGAACGGCAGTTCTTGCTGGTGCCCACACTAGGCTTCTCTACCCATCACCTGCAGGTTTGGGCCACAGCAGTGGACAGTCAGGGCAGTCCCCACCCTCTCCACAACCCAGTTCTCCCTTCCCAGATGGGAACTCAAGCACTGAAGCATTACCATTTTTCTTAACCCTTGCTACTTGCCATGGTCTTCCCCCAAAAGTCTTCCCTGCAGGAGGGGAAAGAGGCATATGATTTGCTGCCCATTTGTGGGAACACCTGCCCTGGAAAGGCTCTGGCAGACAGGTAAATGTTCCCAACTGCGGGCTGTTTGTGCTACCTTCCACCATGTGTGCAAGCCTCTATCTATGCATATATACAAACCCCACACTCACTCAGGCAAGCCTCAGAGTCAGGTGGATGATTATCCTATTTTTATGTACGAGGAACCATCTGCATCACCAACCGTGAGTTGTTACAGGAGCCAAGATATGAGCATTAGAGACTGAGTAAGTACACTTAAAAAGCTGCTAAGAAAGCAGGTGAGGTGACAGCAAAGCAGTTTCTGAACACAGATCCTGAGATTCTGACACGGGTTTCTTCTGTCTGCCTTCTTGCATGCATTCCAAGTCAAAGCCAGTGCATCTATCTTTCAGGGTCCTACCTCAATAACCCAACCCACACAGCTGACGAATGGGGAAGTGATCTGCTTTCATAAAGCTAGCCCTCGCCGGGCGTGGTGGCTCATGCCTGTAATCCCAGCACTTCAGAAGGCCGAGGCAGGTAATCCACCTGAGGTCAAGAGTTCGAAACCAGCTTGGCCAACACCCTGAAATTCCATCTCTACTAAAATACAAAAATTAGCTGGGCATGGTGGCATGCACCTGTAATCCCAGCTACTTGGGAGGCTGAGGCAGGAGAACTGCTTGAACCTGAGAGGTGGAGGTTGCAGTGAGCTGAGTTCATGCCACTGCACTCCACCCTGGGTGCCAGAGCAAGGCTCCATCTCAAACAAAACAAAACAAAACTAACCCCGTATTTATAACCCTCCCTCAACTCCAGGATGTCGAGGGGCTGAACAGATGCTTGCACGCCCAGTGACACTAATACTTCAGATAAGACACTGGAATCCTCACCAAGTGCTACCCTCTGCCCACAATTAGAAAGAATCCCAGTCAGGCAGAAGTTGCAGTGAGCTGAGATAGCACCACTGCACTCTAGCCTGGGCAACAGAGCAAGACTCCACCTGAGAAAAGAAAAAATAAAATAAAAGGATCTCCCCTTTGTTCAGACTCCCTGGAACCTATGCTTGGCCCTTGAGTGGTCTCCACTGCACCACTGTGACAAAGGAAGGAGGCAAGGCTTTGTGGATCTAAAGAGTGAGCAGGAGTCAATCAAGCCCAGACACGTGCCCTGACCTCCCAGCCCAAAGAACACGTCTTGTCTCAAAAAAAAATAAGGACTCCAGTGTCTTGCTGTTCACACACACCACACCCTAAGAACAGTTTGGGGTTTCTAGACCTCCGGGGATTCCTGACATATGAAAGTACATAACTCAGCTCTAGGTAAATTCACCAAATGACTCTCTGAACTCTGAAAAAGTCACACTCAATCCAGAATCACATCCCTGAGCAACACTAAGAGGGCTTGGAATGTCATGTGCCTGTAGGAAAATGAATTATATAATCTGTTTTCTTACACACACTGTAAAGAAAAGTGGACCTTCAGCTCTATTATTCACCAAGAAAGTATCCTAGTACAAATCTGTTTGCATGCATTGATTCTGAACTTAGCATACTAAATTCAGATGGTTACATACAAACAAGGTATTCTGACTTTGGGTCCATATTATATATGGGTTCTTGTGAAAGAATTATGAAGATAGTAAAGAAGTTACCCTGAGAAACTTAAGGACATTCATTTTATAATGTATGTAATTTTATACATTTATTATAAAATGAATGTCCTTAAGCTTCTCAGGGTAACTCTTACTATCTTTGTGATTTTGTTTCATAATATTTTATGCATTTTTAACATTACAAATATAAAAATCCCCTTTCTAACAAGCTGCATCACTACTGCACATTTTTGGCCACTGGGACACAGTTAAGCAGGCATAAGCAAACCCTACTCTAACTAAAATTCCTAAGAGTAAAAAACCCTGCCAAGTCCTGCTTTATGACCCACTCATAATAATGGTCACTATCACAAAAGCTCATCTAACAAAGCTGCTGATACAGACCCTCTGAACTGATTTTAGACAGTTCTGAATGACCGAACACTTAGCAGGCAGGTAACATTTATTGATGTGGACAGAGGTAAGAATTATGCAGTAAAAATCTGTTGGCCATGGGGCAGGATGGAGGAAGCGGGCAGGGAGGCAGAGTCCCTGTGATAAACCCAGATAAAGCCTTGGCCCTCCTACACCACTCTGGTCTGAAGGCTTGGCTTCTGGTCCCAGCCCTGCCGCTGTTGTGTTCTGAGCTTCAGTTTTCTCACTTGCAAACAGACACAACAATACCCATTCTGATGTTTCACAGGGATTAAGCAAGCATTCAGTAAGATGCAGCTTTGAAAAGCATAAAGGGCGGTATCAACGTGAAGTTCCAATGCAGAATAGTTGCTGAATCCAGACATAAGAGAGACATTTAAAAGGCAAATGGAAGAGCTTTCTCAAATATCAAAGGTAGAAAAATTAGCACTAGCTGTGAGTGGGCTCTAAGCTGCCACAAATCCGTCAGGATTGGGGGACACTTAGAAGGACACGTGGGTCCTAAGGCTCAGAGTGACCACAGTGAGCCAGCAAACTCACTGCCAACCCTGTACACTGTCTGCTCAGTTCAGAAAAACCCATTCCCATCACAACTGACCCTCTGATCCTGAAATCCCACCTCAAGTCCAAGTCACCGTCTATCCAACTTCGTGATGATGGAAAAAAAATTACTCCACTTTGCATAAGAATTCATCATATTCTAAGAATCCTATTACTAACAGATTGTTTTACAAAGCTTATTTAATAAATCCATTGGTAGAAACCAACAGACTTTTGCAAGTGATTAAAAATCCAACAACTGTTATAAGCTAGGAGGCTTCTTGTTCCAAATTAGAATTTTGATTATGGTGTGTCTGACCAAAAAATAAATAAGAAGTGCCTGGAAAAAAAACAAAAGGCAAATACAGTGTGCTACCCTTTGCTCACACTGGGAAATAAAGTGCCCATATTTCTCTAGGATGTATCTAAAAGCAGAAAACAAGCGGCGGGAATGAATTAGGCAGAAGGAATCAAGGTTGCAGTGACACTCTTAAGTACATCTTTTTCTACAGTTTGACTTTGGGAGCCATGTTAATGCTCTTCACCTTAAATTTTTTTAATTAAGTCAATAAGGATGAGATGAAGGGAAAATACTCCTAAACTGAAAATGAATTGAAACAAATCTGTAATTCAAATGAATACCACAACCAGACTGAAGGGAGGAAGACAAAACTAATTCAAGTAGCTAACAGCTATCTGACGATATGCTCTCAGTTTTGGACAGGATTAGAGGGATGAACAGCAAACAAATGATGAACTCTTCAATAGCTTTGTTTTTTGTAGTGATGCATGGGAACCGCTGGTGGGCAAAAGGGATGAGAAAATGGGGGGCCCTTGTTTACACAGTAAAATATGTTAAGGAAAAACATTTGACAATCATATTTCTATTTTTACTTTTATTTTTGAGACAGGGTCTGGGCTCTGTCACCCAGGCTGGAGTGCAGTGGCATGACCTCCACCTCTTGGGTTCAAGTGGTTCTTGTGCCTCAGCCTCCCAAGCAGCTGGAATTACAGGTGTGCGCCACCACATCCAGCGAACTTTTTGTATTTTTAGTAGAGACAGGGCTTCTCTATGTTGGCCAGGTCAGTCTCAAACTTCTAGCCTCAAGGGATCCACCCGCCTTGGCCTTCCAAAGTGCTGAGATTACAGGCATGAGCCACTGCACCCAGCCGGTGTTCTTGATGCTTTCATTGACATAAAAGACTGATGATGTTTAAAAAATTTTCATCTTTTGAGAAGATGAATCATTTTCAGAGTTGGTGTTTCCTAGTTTTTAATGACTAGGTTGAGTTATCTGCCATGAACAGAACACAGAATTGGCAGCTGGGCCAGCCACCCCACACAGACCATACCTCAGGAACTGTTTACATGTGGCACTTACCCTTAGCAGGAGACTGGGGTAGGGATGGAGTGAACAAAGGCATCATCTGTCTGGTCAGGTCAGATCTCTCCTTTCTGACCTCTTCCCCCTTGACCTCTGCATTCTAGCCATCCTAATGTTCACTCAGCTCCCCTAAGGCATGGAGCTCTTTCAACACCAGGCCACCGTGCATGCTGTTCCCCACATAACCCCTCCTGCTCTTCCAGATACCATCCTATTCCGCTGGCTCAGGACATAAGGGCTTTTCTCTAATGTCTTCAGAGTTCCCCGGCTTAGAACCCTGCTTTTGTAGAATTTATTTCACAGTCC